TGTTCGTGATCGAGGAGGCCTATCCTTCTCAGTTACTTCGTTGTTTTAGGCCGATTTTTGGAATATCTTCTTTTGCAATTTGGGAAATACATGAGAAATACGCGCGCCTTAACGAGCGAGCTAGGAATTTGGGTCGATGGTTAAGAATTCCGGAATGAGCGGAACCTGACGTGTCCTTTCTTGTGCATCAATGTTCTCGACTTCGTCTTGGAAAACTCTGGGAATTTTCGTATGAATCTGAATAGGTATAGGACTTTTTCCTGCGTTCGCTCTACGCGTGGATATGGTACTTTTCAATTTTGAATTAGCTGTAAACCTGTAATTGTTTCAGTGCCCTTTTTGCCTCCGCATCGGCGCCATGCATGCGAACCTCCCCTTCATGCTTCCCTCGCTACTTTTTACACTCTCTTCTTCGCGCTCACGCTCCTTCGCTCTCTGTAATCGTTTTTCATCTCTATCTTGCCTCGCGCACCTTTTCTGTTTCTTGATCGTCTGAATCTTGGTTCCATTTCTCGCTATCCTTCCCGCTCTTCTTCTTCCCGTTCTAAACCTTGTGCCAAAATACCGTTTCGATTTCCTCCTCCTCCCCTCTAGCCAAGGAGACGCGCCGTGTAAGAAGGATATTCCTGTTACACGACGATTCTGATTGGCTACGACTGGGCTCCGAAGGATCGACATGGCTTTCCTCGGGCGATTATCCTCGGACTTTCCCTTACCCCTCTCCATCTCGGGCTTAATCCTTCCTAGCGTCTATTTCCTTTTCCGCAACCATAAATTCTGCAAGTGCACCCGAATATCTCTCTCTTAACTTATCGACCAGCTTTCAGGAAGCAGTGGCTAGATGGTACGTGTGATGTGCGAGTCGAAAAGTCCTGACCAACAGATTGTAGCCTTGCCGGTTGTGTGCTGGATCGCCCGACAGACTGTAGGATCCTGGCAAGACCGTGCAAAGACTGAGTGGCGGGGTGACGATCACTATGGTGGGAGTAGCACGTGACGATAAGGATCGTCAATGCCTGTGTGAGGATCGTAATCGGAAGTTGAGTGAATATATGGCCCGGGGCCACAGTGGAATTTCATGGCGGATGCACCTCTTTTTGTTTCAAGTCTAGTTTTTGATCGTGAGTTCCGTTCATGCGACATTTGAGCCGAAATTTCTCGTCAAAGATCATCGGACTTTCTTGTATAATTACCTTCTTCCGTCTTCTCTCTTCCGATCTAAGACTATGTCTCTCCTCCCTCGCACCTCCTTTCTGTTATATTTATGCTATAATGGATGGACTATGATGATTTCTCTCCTCTCACTTTGATACGTACATGTAGTGGATTGCGCCTGAGGACTTGTGTGAGCATGACAGGGATGTTGATTGATGGATCTAATGAAATACGAGACTAGATTGGCCGAATGAAGGATGCATGATTAGGAAGGATGTTGTTCTTTGTCCTTTTGCCATGTGAACCGATAGCCCTAATCTGACTGGGCGCCGACTTCCCGTGCCTCCGTCGCGCCCCTTCCCGTACAACGAGGAAAGGACACGTGTATGCAAGTGAGACGCACGAGAAGCCGTCGCCAAGATCGGCGGGCGTTATTACTTTCCACCTGAGACCCGGTGCTCCGGATTCGTTGGTGTGGGATTTGCAATCATCGATACGCACTTTCCGCCTTATTCGTTGTTGTTGCCATTTAATGAGTTGATCGTCATCCCGTGGGCGGCAGTGGCGCCTCATTGGCCTAACACTCTGTGTAGCGACTGTCGTCACACTGAGCATTACTGAGCCAAAGGCTTCCATTACTGCACATGTGGCGAGGACAAACACAAGGAGAGAGCCACTCGATTGAGGCCCTCCACGTCAGATTCAGAGTTGTGTAGTGAATGCCGACCGGACCTCATCCGAAAACGGGATACTACGTGTGTACCCTTCCCCTTTCATTCGAAACGTAGGGCAACGGCTCGCTGGGAAGTACAGCGATACTTTTTGGATTGAATTCCCCATCGCCGTGAGCCCCGCATGCGCCTTTTTCCTTAGATCGCGCGGCGACGGACCCCTTCTTACTAAAGTCGGTCCAACACGGGGGATTTCAGTTCCGTGTGTGTCCCCACACTCAATTTTCCCAAAAATCCTTGGCACACCCCATTTTGGCTGTTCTTCCTGGGCCTTTTCCGTGAATCAAAACACTCCGACCGGAAAGCAGCACATGGCGTGAGGTTGAGCGTCACATATGTTCTGGAGATGCTCTCATGTCCCGTTCGTCCTTCTCCTCATCCACCATCTTGGAGTCGCCTGCGGGATCACACCCGATGCCATGGCGCAGTAGAATTGCACAATGGATTGTGATAACGACACACAATCGGGTGCCTCCATCACATGTTGCATGAGCTGCCTTTGCCTGCGAATGGACAGTCTCATCTTTAGGCGAGGTGTTGTTCTCTCAATGCGATAACGAATGGCGACGGCCGACACAGCTACAACCGCGACGGCCGACACAGCTACAACCACCGCATTTGTCTCTGAAGTCGTCAATGCATTTGCACTGCCTCACACCTCTCCGTCCATGTTCATGACGTGCAATGCGCAACTGCCCAACACTCTTTCGGTCGCTGGCGCCCTTGTTCCGTTGTCTCCACGTGGACGGGATGGCGGCAGCACTCTCCACGCTTTACGGAATCGTGACGTGCACGCTCAGCTATGGCGGGCCACAGGATTGTCATGGACGCCCCGAAGACGAATTTGGAACCTGTTAGCGACGTCGCGAGAGAAGACCATTACCTTTGGGGCTACGCCGGCCTACGTTCCAATGCCCACCTATTAAGCCATGGCCTACAGTATTCCTCCGCATAGAGGTTTTGCTCCAGTGTGCACTCCAGCCTCTGCCGCAACAATGAAGGTTTCAAATTTCAAAATTTGAATGGGGATGTTCCCATGTTTTTTTTTTTTCCAGCCAGGTAGCCTGCGGTAGGCCTCCCTGCTGCCGCTACTGGACCACGCCAGCACGACGACGGACATCCATCCAACCCGGTGGCTGCGTGTATGCTATCAAATTGGCCTCCGGAGACCTCCAAGGGTTTTCCTTGGGACCCATAGAATTAGGACGCCGTGTAAAGACGACCCCTAAAAGCGAATTTTTTTCCAAGGACTTCATCCTAATTCCTAAGGATTTGCCAAGGACTTCATCCTAATTTCTAACGAGGCCCATAGTATAGTGACACCTCTGGAGATGATTGCTCGACGTCCTGCTTACTACTTGGTCGATGATGAAGTGGAGTGACACCGCTGGAGATGATCGCATTACGTCTGTCGCACGCTGAGAATACTTGATCAGCGTGCTTGCCCCTGCCCGGGGTTCACCACTGAGCTATCTTGTAATCTAGTCGATTGTTAATTAGTGAGTTAGTTAGTGAGATGGTTCGTGATTAGGAAGGCGCACGTGCGCACTTCTTGTTGTAGGAGGTTTACTACTTATGTTGTGTTGCTGTGACCTTGCGCTGTCGCAAAGTCTTCGACGCGCTCCCGCAGCAGAATCGAGCAGACAGATCGGTTCTATGTGTGACTTCTTTTGCAGCTGCGAAGGTACCTGGCCAGGATCATGCGCTAGGATCCTCTGGTGCTGCCAGATTCTTTCCCTCCTGCCAAACGGCGTCCATGCGCCACTCCACGGTTCACGTGAGTCCGCTTCCTCCCGTTCTTTCGCTTGTTCGCTACTGTCATTCGTTCCCATTCCAATTTTCATTAATGTCCCTACCCTCGTTGCTATCAGTTGGGATTCGTCCTCGCCAGGGCGACGGAGAATGTTGCACGTGCTTATGACCAGCACCGCTATAGGCACAGCTAGATCGACGGCGAAGCTTCGGCTATGGCGCCCCTTGCCGAGCGTCACAGCTATTAGATCGATGCCGAAGCTTCGGCTATGGCGCCCCTGCCGTCTTCGCCCGAATAGAACGTACGGTCATTTGCGCAGCATCTAGACTGAAGGTTGGTCCAAATACGGCTACAATGACCGTACGTTCTATTCGGGGGAAGACAGTACCCGAGCTTGAAGCGACAGTCATTATGAGGTTCCGATCGACAGCACCAGCTTGGAGACGTCGTCTGCCAAATGCTTGTGAGATAATTCGAGATTTAATCTGTCATCTGATTCCATCATCGTCAGATTCGAGGTTAGGGCCGTCGCTCCACTACTCAGGAAATGCAGAAAAGACAAAACTCATGGCAATGTATCTGTCCTTGTTCTAGCTGAAGATTCACTCTCGTTTTGCACATTTTGAGAGTGGTGGAGCGAGGCCCTAGGTCTGTATTTTTTAAAACAGTTCATGGGTTATGGGTCTACCAACCAAGCCACTGGTAGTCTCGTTGGTATTTCAAGATTTTCGGGGTCCACGATTCGCTCGTGCGATCGTGTTATCTTAGTTAATTAATTAATTAATTAACTGGTTTGTTTTGTCAAACGCACCTGTTCGTGCTCTTGTATTATCTTAGTAATTAATTAATTAATGAAGTTGTTAGTTTTGTCAAACGCACCCGGTCAGCGTTCCAGATGCATTGCCGCATATCACGCAAATTAGCTTGTTTGTTACGGGGCGCAGCCCCCCATTCTCTGTCGCAGTTAAAGGTAGTTCATCCCCACTTGGGTGCCGTCTGGCGCTTGATTGATTGCCTGCTCACGTGTTTTCTCTCGAACTGCGTCGGTGCAAACGTTGCTCGTAATCGTGCCTTCCCCTTTGACGACTGCCATCAGCCCTATGAGTACCGTCCTCCCCCGAATAGAACACACGGTCAGTATAGCTGTAGGTGGGGCAACTGCCGTCTAAGTAAAGCCGTAATGACCGTGCGTTCTACTCGGGGGGAAGAGGATAGCCATTTTCGAACTGATTGATTCCACAGGCGAGCTGCACGAGCCCACCATGCCTGCCTTCTCGAATCGTCAGACACACATTCGTGTCAATTGTACAGTATAGTATAGTGTAGTATAGTGTAGTATAGTATAGTATAGTATAGTATAGTGAATTTAAGTTCAATTTCAAATTAATGGCTTGCATAATGACTCAACACGTGTTTGACTGAATAATTATAAAACGAAGATAGGACGTAGGGGTCAGTGCAGAACGGCAGCCGTCAGGACCACAAGTGATAGTTCCACGTCTTGCAGCTCGCCCCCCAAAGAACATGAAGTTGGAATCGCTAGTAATCGCGGATCAGCTGGCCGCGGTGAATACGTACTATAGTCTTAGTATACAATAGTGGCCATACGCTGTGCTATTCACGCCCGTCAGATAGATTGGCGATTTCTTCATCACTCCGGAGACTACTTGAGTCTGCGCGGCAGGTGCGCACCACCACAATCATTAGCCAATCATTATGTTCAATCTCTTTCGTACGTTCATTTGTCCATCTGGCGTCACGTGAAGTGTGCGCATCGCCACACTTGTGTGTGTGTGTGTGTGTGTGTGTGTGTGTGTGTGTGTGTGTGTGTGTGTGTGTGTGTGTGTGTGTGTCTGTGTGTGAGAGAGAGAGGGAGAGAGAGAGAGAGAGGAGGGGGGGGGGGGGAGATGGCGACGTTGGACGTGGACAGCATTCTCAGGGGTGCTCCTCATCCGATTGCCAAGACGAAGATTATTTGCACGTTGGGACCGAAGTCGAAGGATGTGCCCATGCTGGAGAAGCTGCTTAAGGCAGGGATGAACGTTGCTCGATTCAACTTCTCTCATGGGACGCACGAGTATCACCAAGGCGTGCTGGAAAATCTTCGTCAGGCGATGATTAACACGCAGATCCTCTGTGCTGTACTTCTCGATACGAAGGGTCCCGAAATCAGAACAGGGAAACTGAAAGATGGAAAGCAAGTTCAGCTCACGCAAGGGAAGGAGATCGTCATCTCGACGGACTACAGTCTTGAGGGCGATAGCGACACGATCACCATGAGTTACAAGCGCCTGCCCATGGACGTCAATCCAGGGAGCACTATTCTCTGTTCGGACGGCACGATCACTCTGACGGTATTGGAATGCAATCGCGCGCAGGGAACCGTAAGGTGCAGGTGTGAAAACACTGCAATGCTCGGCGAGAAGAAGAACGTCAACCTCCCCGGAGTCGTCGTCGACCTCCCTACCATAGGCGACAAGGACAAGGATGATATCCTTGGTTGGGGTGTCCCTAATTCGATCGATTTCATCGCTGCATCCTTTATACGGAAGGGGCAGGACGTTGCCTACATAAAAAATCTCCTTGGACCCCATGCCAAATCCATAAAGGTCATCTCGAAGATCGAGAACCAGGAGGGTCTGGTGAACTTCGACGACATTCTGAGGGAGACGGATGCAGTGATGATAGCCAGAGGCGACCTGGGAATGGAGATCCCGACTGAGAAGATCTTCCTCGCGCAGAAGATGATGATCTTGAAGTGCAACTCGGCTGGAAAGCCTGTCATAACGGCGACGCAAATGTTGGAGTCCATGGTTAAGTCCCCTCGACCTACTCGTGCAGAGGCCACCGATGTGGCCAACGCAGTTTTAGACGGCAGCGATGCGGTGATGCTGAGTGGGGAAACAGCTGCCGGAGCTTATCCTGAGGAGGCCGTGATGGTCATGTCCCGAATTTGTCGGGAGGCAGAGGCCTCTCTGGACTACCATGCCATATACAAGGCCATCATCAAGGAGACCCCCCTTCCAATGAGCCCCCTAGAGAGTCTGGCCTCGTCTGCTGTCCGAACTGCTAATAAGGTGAGAGCCTCACTGATCGTTGTGCTGATGAGAGGGGGCAGTACTGCAAAGCTGGTGGCCAAGTACAGGCCGTCCATCCCGATACTGTCAGTTGCTGTCCCGGTTCTGACGTCTGACAATCTGTCGTGGTCCATCAGTGAGGAGTCGCCCGCTCGGCAGAGCTTGATCTGTCGAGGTCTCATTCCCCTCCTCGCAGAGGGAGCAGCGAAAGCCACAGACACAGATACAACTGACGACATCCTCAACTCAGCTCTGCAGTGGGCCAAGAACAGAGAGCTTACCAAGCAGGGAGACTGCATTGTGGCTCTTCACAGAATTGGTGTCGCCGCGGTGATCAAGATCGTTGACGTCAAGCCAGACACACCGTCAACTAGTGCAACACAGTGAAACGATTTTTTCAGACAGATTGAAAAATATCTTAATGTGGGGCTGATGCGAGGGGGACGGGACAAACAAAAAAAAAAAGAAAAAAAAAAAGGGTTTTGAGCTACTACGCTCGACCAGGTTGATGGTTCAAGTCTCGGTGCCGTCAGTCGTTCATCCAGGCTGTAAAAATGCGAATTGCTTCTGTAGTCAATTAATGCCCTCACGCCGCTCAGTGCTCACGGTGTTGCGGCATCTTCATCAGAGTAGGCTCTATGTGGAGGTGGGTGACACTGGTGTTGACTACCGTCTTCCCCCGAACACAAGGCAGCCTCATTGTGACGGTATCGGGCCGGAAACATAGCTTGTATACGTTCATTTTCGGGGCGCGTTATGCTCGGGGGAAGACGGACGCTAGCTAGTTCGGAGAACTGCAACCAGGTATTGGTGGTTTGGACTCTGGAGGCAGTCGGTTCAACTTTGTTGCCTTTGTTCCGCCGAAATTGGGGACTCGCTTGGGAGCAATTGCTGTTGTCGTTTGGTGATTTGTCTTTGTTTGTTTGTTTGTTTGTTTGTTTGTTTGTTTGTTTGTTTGTTTGTTTGTTTTTCTTTTTTTTTCACCCCCCCTGGAGATCAGCAATTTGTCATAGGAAGGGCACAATGTCATGCCGTGCACCGGCAGCTGCATCAGTCTCTGCCTAGAATTTCTGTGCCCATGCCGATTGAGTATGGCTCCCCTGGATGATGCCATGCCATGCCTGCTGTGCTCTGGTCGTTCGGAAACAGATCTGCGCGGAAGAAGGAGCCTTGGTGACAGTCTTGGTGACTTCGTGGGGACATGCAGAGACTCGGTACACTAGTTTCAAATTGCATCAGTGATCATCAAGCTGGAGCGAATTGCTGCGATTCCCGAGGCGCAACGTTTCTGGCATAATAGTGAAGCTGCAGCTTGTCTGAAGGAATGTGTTTTGTGGTAGGTTTAATTGTTATTATCATTGTCTTAAAGCACCCCAGCCCCCCGAAAATAGAACAAAAGGGACCTCCGCGAAGCACAGAGTCGCCTGACTGGACCCACTGTTGCATCGAGCCAGCGCATGAGCGAGACAGCCCGCAAGCCAACACGCAGTCAAGAGAGAGCAGCTAGCTCTCTCTCTCTCTCTCTCTCTCTCTCTCTCTCTCTCTCCCCTGAAAGAATTGGTTAAGGAGAATTCCCGTGTCCCTGTCTACATTGCTGCGAAACCATGGCCAAGGA